ACACACACACACACACACAAACACACACACGCAAATTCAATAAATGATAATGTAGGAAGGAATTAGTCCAAAAAATTCCATTGCTTTGCTTTTTGTACAAAATGTCCATTTAGGGACACCTAGGTGGCTGAGTCACTTAAGTGTCGGTTTCTTGATTTCAGCTCAGGTCATGATCTCACAGTTTGTGAGTTCCAGCCCCACATTGGGCTCTGTGCTGACAGTGCGGACCCTACTTGTGATTCCCCCTCTCCTTCTCATTCTGCCTCTCCTCTCCTCCCTCTCCTTTAAAATAAATAAATAAACTTTTTTTTTAAAGTCCATTTACACTTTAGCTATACACAGACTATTTAGGGGTGCCTGGTTAGGGCTCAGGTGTTGGAGCATGAGACTCTTGATCCTGAAGTTGTGAGTTTGAGTCCCACGTTGAGTGTAGAGATTACCTAAATAAAATAAAATCTTTTTAGGAAACTATACACAGACTATTTTAAAATTGCCTGTGAAAAATCAAAAACCTTAAAAGAAGAAAATATAAATTAAAATCCCTCACCTACTGAGGATTTGCCCAATCCAAGCCCCCTTCGTTAACCTTCTAGACTACTCTCAGAGCCTTTTAAACATCTCGCTCCTATTCTTCCCCTGCCCCAATCCATTCATCACATAATGGCCAGAAAATACCTTGAAGTTAAATCTGATCAAAACTCTTTAGTGGCTTCCTATCAAAATTAGGACAAAATCCAGAATCCTTACCATGACTCTACAACATCTGGCCCCCTATACATTTCTTGCTTTGTCTCACATCCTTTCTGGTTTCCCATTCTCCTCCAGCCACACTGCTCTTCTTTCAAGTCCTCAAACTTATCATACTCTCCCCCTTCAGGGAGTTCACATGTGCTTTTCTCTCTGCCAAACCACTTCCCATGCCTCTTTGCCTGTCTAACCCTTATTTATCCTTCTAGTCTCAGCTTAAATATCATTCCCTCCAAGAGGCTTTCCTCAACCACCACCACCCACACACACCCCAGTCTAAATTAGGTCTCTCTATTGTACCATCTTACACTTCGCCTTCATAGAGTTTACTTTGGCTTGTATTATATACTTATGTGATTATTTCTAGTGTGTTTTCCCACTAGAGCTAGATCATATACTACAAGAGAACAGGCGCCAGCAAATATCTGTTTGGCTCATCACTTTTTTTTTTTAACAGAGAGAGCACAAGCGGGGAGAGAGGTAGAGGGAGAGAGAGAGAGAATCTTAAACAGGCTCCATGTCCAGTACAGAGCCAGATGCAGGGCTCAGTCTCACAACCATGAGATCATAACCAGAGCCAAAGTCAAGAGCAGATATGTAACTGACTGAGTCACCCAGTCATCACTTTTATAACCAGCAGTCTGCCAGCATCTGGCACGTGTTCTTGGTTGTTTGGGTTTTTTTCAACAGTTGGATTAATGAATACATGAAGATTCAGTTCAAGCCCCACTTCTTCTATAATTTCTTTCTCAATCACCCCCCTGCTCCTCCACTGGTAGATTTCAGCACTCATTTCCTTATTCCCACTGGGTACTATACATAGAACTCACACTTGACAAATAGCCTCACTGAACTTATTTTGGGTTCTTAGATAAGCCAGTACTGCATGCTGTTTCTGAGTCTTCACATATGCTCTTCACATATGCTCTTTCCTACCTGCAGCACTGCTTTCCTCATTTAGCCAAATAATCCACCTCACATGGTCAAGATCAGCTAATGTTAAAGAATAAGTTGTGAACCCGCTTGAACAGTTCCCTCCCTAGGAAGGTGAGAGTAGACCTGCTTCTACCTTTTTACACCAAGACTTTTCAATGTGAAAACCACAGTAGAAATAGGAAATTCTAAAGTGATCCACTACTGTCCCCAGAATCACACTTTGCTGCTGAATATATCACAGACTTAACTCCATCTGCCACCAATGGAGTGGAAATAAATAAACCAATTTTTCTAAACTGGCCTCAAGGACAATGTCAGTGCTATCTGTGTTAACAAAATTTCAGGCAGAAAAAAAAAAAAAAAAGGAATGGTTACATAAGAGGAGAGAGCTTAATTTTCTACATAGTTGATTGGCTTTTGGGGAAGAACAGCCTTGAAAGTATCCAGAAATCAATTGATTGGGTAATGCACACTCAGCAACCCCAAAGTTGACATAGGATGAAAGTTAGGGAAGCCTTAATAGGCACTGTCCAAGTAAAGATGTGCCCTGAGAACAGAGAGGGAAAAAATGACTGACATGCACTGATGCAAAGTCAACTGTCAGTGATACGGCATGCACTATTTTTTATAAGAACATATGTTGCAGGCACCATAGATGTGCTCACTTGGCATCCATCTCTACCTTTGGTGCCTTGGCTACCTCTGCTATTGAAGGTAGGAAAACCAAATCATCACTTTCCCAACCTTTCTCAAAACTACGAATGGCTAGATTAAAAGTTTTGGCTAAATAAGACATCTCCATTCTCTCATTCACTTAAATCAAAAACTTGGAGTCATCCCTGACGCCTCTCTTTCTCCTACACCCCACAGCTGATCCATTTGCAAACTGTTTGCTCCACTTGGGTATCAAATTCCAAGTCCAAATATTCCTCACACCTCCCCCACTACTATCTTGCTGTAAGTCACCATTATCCATTGCCTGGGCTATGGCAATAGTCTCTGCTTCTGTCCTGCCCCCTACAACCTATTTTCCAAAGAATAGCTAAAGATATCTTTTTAAAACACAAACCTCAGCATATTACTCCTTTGCTCAAAACCTTCCAATGTCCTTAAATACAATAAAATATAAACTCCTTACCATAATCTTACCAAATCAAGGCCTTGCATGATCTGACTTCCAGCTACTTCATCAACATCTGTGGCCACCGCCCTCCTGCTTGCTCACTCTGTTCAGCACTACCAGCCTCCTTGCTGTTACTCAAACATACCAAGCACATGGCTTATCAGAGCCTTTCTGTTTGCTGCTCCCTCCACCTGGAACACTCTTCCTCCAGACACGTTTATTCAGGCCTCTACTCAGTCATCATTCTATCAGAGGCACCTTCCCCAAACACTGTATCTAAATGAGCGTGCTGCCCATCATTCTCTACCTTTTACTTCCCCTAACTTCATGCACACATTGCTACTTGGCTTTATATGTAATATGTTTGGGTTTATTTATTATCTGACACATACACACACATATACACACATATGCACACATGGTTATTTTTTTTACCACTATATCCCCAGCATCTAAAAAAGTGCCTAACATGTAGTAGGAGCTCAATAATCATATTTGTTGAGTTAGTAAACTTTCCATAGACCTCTGCCCAGCCTTGAGTTATACTATATGACCACGTTTTATCATTTCTTTTACTTTTCTAAGTTAATAGTTATGGCAGACATTGTTGTTCATTGTCCACCCATCACTTAAGCCTCATACCCAACCTCCATGACAATGAAACTCTGATCTGTTTGGGTAACCATAGAGCCATCGATTTACCCCAATCTCAACTGATGAATCATGGTTTTCCTGAACTGGTCATGGCCATCCTATTCCACTTTGCCACCGATTGTTATGCAGTAGACGTGTGATCTGATTTTGTCAAAGGAAAGTCAACTAAAAGATTTCCCTTCTCGATAGATACTGTATATTTGCACAAATAGGTGGATTAGGAGGAATTTAGCAGAAGACCATGGGGGAGAAGAAAGGGGGAATAGTGGGGGAGAGGGAGAGAGGCAAACCGTGAGAGACTCTTGAATGCTGAGAACAAACTGAGGGCTAATGGGAGTGGGGGAGAGGGGAAGGGGGGTGATGGGCATGGAGGAGGGCACTTGTTGGGATGATCACTGGGCGTCATATGGAAACCAACTTGACAATAAACTATTTAAGAAAAAAAAAAAAGATTTCCCTTCTCAAATAAAGACGGTCTTAGAAGTAGCCAGTCTTTTGTGCCTTGTCTCTTCCTTCCTTCTTGGAATACAGGTGTGAAGAAATAATATTCAGAGTTGTGACAGTTCTCTTGCAGCCATGAGGTGACATGCAGGAAGGCTAAAAGTCACTCAGTGAAGATAGTAAAACGGAAAAATAGAAAGACTGTAGGTCCTTGATGACATCATTGAGCCAGTGACTAAACCTGGAACTGCCTACGTCCAAAGTTCTTGTTAAGTGAACAATAAATGTTCTTAGGGCTTAGGCTGTTGTTAGTTAGGTTTCCCTTTATTAACTGCCAAATGAAATCCTAACTGATTCAATCATTTTATTTATGGATGTGTTTGTGAGGACAAATGCATTTTTTCTTTACATAGTACATTCTGGATAAGAAAAGGGAAGGGAGAAGGGAGAGAGGAAAAGGAGAAACTTGTGGATGACATAATCCTGAAAGTGGAGTAAACTACAAGAAGGATGTGTGTGTGTGTGTGTGTGTGTGTGTGTGTGTGTATGAATATCTCACTCACTCATCACCTAGTCTCAACTTCCTGTGCTCTTTTTTTAAATTTTTATTTTAATGTTTATTTATTTTTGAGAAAGAGAGAGAGAGAGAAAGATGGGGAGAGGCAGAGAGAAAGAGAGAGGGAGAGAGAGCCAGAATCTGAAGCAGGCTCCAGGCTTCGAGCTGTCAGCACAGAGCCCAATATGGGGCTTGAACCCACAAACCATGAAATCATGACCCGAGCTAAAGTTGGACACTTAAACCAGCTGAGCCACCCACAGGCCCCATCCTCTGCTCTGTCTTTATCTGATCTTTCCACTAATATTGAAGGATCATAAACTAAGCCTCTGTTTTTGTACATCTACCACCACACTGTAAAACCTTTAATGGCTTCTCATAATTTGTCAGATAATTTTCTTCTAGTTAGCATTCAAAGATTCTAAACTCCAATCACACCAATTCATTGAATTTACCTCCCACTATCTCCTAATCTAAGTCTTCCTACTCAAATAAACAAATAAGAACAAACTCTCCTTATTTTATTCTTATTCTTTTTTATAGCTAAGTAATTCCGAATTGCTGGATGACCCAATAGACAAAGTAAGTAGATATTTAAAACACAGGCAAGACAAAGAAGAGAGATTCAACTATAATGGACTTACCCAGAATTCTACAACCAGAAAATCTGGAATAAACCATTTTAATTTCATCATATATGCAGGTTTTGTGTTTTGCAGTTTTAGAATTGTTTACTTTGAATTATATCTGGTATATGTGCATCATAAATTTTCTTCTAAAGGTTAAAATTAAGCCCTGACCATTTTTTTTTTTAGCATTTGTTTATCTTTGAGGGAGAGTGAGAGAGTACATGTGAGAGCAAGGGAGGGGCTGAGGGAGAGGGAGACAGAGGATCCAAAGTGGGGTCTATGCTGACAGCAGAGAGCCCAGTGCAGAGCTCGAACTCAAGAATCCTGAGATCATGACCTAAGCAGAAGTCAGACACTCAGCCAACTGAGCCACCCAGGTATCCCTAAGCCCTGATCACTTGGAACATATCTTTTCTCCTCCTATCCAAAGCCCGCTCCACCCTTGAGTGCAAGTCAACGTCCAGTCTTCTGCAAATAATCTAAGCACAATAAGATCAGTTTTTAATTGAATTTTTAGTTTTTAGATTCACATTTTCATTTAAATATGTATGTTTATTTATACTGTAAACTGCTCTTTGTGAGTTATAGTTTCTGTTATTAGACTCAAAATTTCACACTCACAAATAAATCCTGTAGAACGCATCGTACTTCTGTTTTAATCTCCCACATTGCAACTAGAACCGTTAGAATGCAACAAATATCTTTTGAACCCCTGACCTTCCAGTTTACATGACCAGTGTACAAATGAATGTGTGAATAAAAATATTTTATGTCTCGAGAGTTATCAGCAAACTACTAGACTAAAGCTAAAGCTTGGATTAAGTTGTAAAGTAGGATACTATCATCAGCATCAATAAATAAAGAACCAGATCCTCATTTATGAAGTTCCTCAGAAGTCCATTTTTAACCAATTGCTCCTTGCAAAGTCCCTCCTAACAGGCAAGGGAAGAGCCACACAAGACTCATTTGGTCAGACATTAACCCTCCCTACCCAGTCCCACTCCTCCCCGCTAACCCAGCACTACTACTACCCCCATCATCAAAAATATGTATGTTTTAGATCAGAACATGGATTGGCAACCAACAGGATCTATGCCCGACCAAAACTGATGGGCAGCCCATGCCCACCTCCCTGCTCCCTGTGACTGTCTGCTACCTGCCTCGCCGACAAAACTTGGCAGCCAGCGTGCTTCTTCCTCCACTTCGGTGTTCGTGGGCTCTCCTGCTCCCTCCCTGTTTGGAAATCATGTCCAAAGACTCTCTCCATGAGCTGCCTCCAACATGCCAAAGGGAAGGGAGGAGGAAGCTTGGCACCCTAATTTTAGAAGGATACCAGTCCGTGATGTAAAAGGAAGACAATATCCTTCTGCAAATGTGGACACTGCCTGTTTCCTTTACTGCAGTCATTAGCTGATGTCTTTGGCAGAGAACATATCGAGTAAGCTTTTCCAGGATGGGCCTGTAGCCTTGGAAATATATCACCCAAAACAAAAAGCCAAACCTCTGATTGTTTCTCAGCTTGCACCCACACATTCCCTAAAGCACTTCATTTTAAAACAAAATTTTTGACAAAGCAAAAGCCAAATTCATATTCCCTCTACCCCCGTGCCAGTGACAAGTCACTCTGAATTTTACTTTTCTTTTTGGCCTATTTTCTTTCCCTTCTCCATTAAAAGAGTTTTTGTCACCAGTAACTACTGCATTTCTTAGTTGCCTTTTTCTGTTTCCCTGGCCTCATTTTTTCCTTTCCTCTAGCTGAACAACAGAAATCTTTAAAACTAACCTGAATTTTGAGTAATATAAAGCTGAGATTTTAAGATCAGTATATTAAAAACTGGATATGAATAGGACTTGACTCAATAGATCATTTATTTCCTTATAAATCTAAATACAGATGCATTTAATATTTATTATAAAGTACTTCTAAAGAGAAATGTAAAAATTTTCTCAGGCAACTTTTCTTTTGGAAAGTTGCATGTTCACATTATGGCTATATTGCATTTTGATAAGATAATAAAATTGAACTATTAATAAACTTTTTCTTTTTAAAAAATGTTTATGGGGCGCCTGGGTGGCTTAGTCAGTTACGCGTCCGACTTTCGCTTAGGTCATGATCTCGCAGTTCGTGGGTTCAGGCCCCCCATCGGGCTCTGTGCTGACTGCCAGCTCAGAGCCTGGAGCCTGTTTCAGTCTGTGACTCCCTCTCTCTCTGACCCTCCCCTGCTAACGCTCTCTCTCTCTCTCTCTCTCCTAGAAATAAATAAAACATTAAAAAAATTTTAAAAATATATATTAATTTTTGAGAGAGAGAGAGGCAGAGAGAGAGGGAGACAGGATCTGAAGCGGGCTCTGTGCTGACAGCAGAGAGCCCAATATGGGGCTTGAACTCACGAACTGTGAGATCATGACCTGAGCTTAAGTCAGAAGCTTAACCACCTGAGCCACCCAGGCACCCCTAAACTCTTTTCTACTGGATTCAGTGACAGGAGTTTTAGTACGCAATCTGCAGTGCCAACTTCAACTTTAATCAATTCCAATGTCAAATATCTGATTATCATATGCTCCACTTAATGAGTAACTAGCTGGAGAGTAAGACCTCTCTCACTGCAGCATGATATGTACAAACCAGACCACTGTTTCTTTCTATTTTTAACACAGTTAAAGAGTAACAAATATGTTTTTAAAAGGCTCTGGAAAAATACCACATAAGCTAGGAAAATTGAAAAAATAAATGCTTCTAATTACAGGTTAAGTTACCCCCCTTCTGGGCTTGATTTTTCCTTAGAGTCTTAGATATAATATGAGTATCAAGCTGCAGAAACAATAAATAACTTCTACCAACAATTATTTAAGGCTTAGTTGTCTAGTGTGAAGACCAGGCCAAAAGTTTCAAGCATACCCCCTATTTTTTATCAATCTTTTCCTAAGAATTAATCAAGATTCGAGTCCCAGTTCTACCACTCCATTGCTGCGACATTAGCTTTTCTGGGTTTCAGTTTTCTTCATTGGTAAAATAGAGATAATAATCCCCTTCACAAGACTGTTGTGAGGATTAAATGAGAGAATATATGTGAAACATCCAGTTCAGTGCCTAGAATTTAGTGAATTTCCTTCAAACCCCTCTTCATCTTCAAACTTCCATTCTTACTATTATGAGCCGAAAGAGATGTATGTGCATATCCTTTCCACTCCTGTATAGCAATGAGTTAAATGGGTATCTTTGTTTATCGGTGTTCTTGCATAAGATATTGTTTTGCATGCATGTAATTCTAATTTATATAAATAGTATTATATAGCATATTTCACTATTTCTTATTCTGTTTATTTTTTGGTTTGGGGCTTGGAGGATTTCTTCGTTTCTTATTAGTGTAGTTTGGGAAAGATAGAAAACTTATGAAGTAGTCCTTCACAGTTCCTATTCAAAAGCGAGACTTTCTAGATCAGGTATGCCCCAACTTGCTTGGAACAACTTTATCTGAAGAGATTAGATATACATGCAAAGCAAATACATGATGAAAGGGTGCAGGAGGGTTTTTTTAATCTGTGGAGGTGGGAGGGTGTGGTAGATGCTCCAAGGTTGAGTTAATCATACTCTTCACTTCATAGTCTATTATCATCATATGTCTGTGCAAGGCCTCACCCTTATTTATTTATTCCCTTTAATCCCTATTCTTCATGTCTTTCTCCTTCATCCTCTGATAGGCATCCATGCCAATGAGTTGAATGCATATCTTTTTGTTTATTAAATGTACTTGCGAAATACATTGTATTGTGTAAAGATGATTTTAATTTATTTAAATACTATTACTCTGTATATTTTCATTTCTTTTTAAAATTTTTTTTAATGTGTTTATTTATTTCTAGGAGAGAGAGAGACAGCATGAGCAGGGGAGGGTCAGAGAGAGATGGAGTCACAGCCTGAAACAGGCTCCAGGCTCTGAGCTGGCAGTCAGCACAGAGTCCGATGCGGGGCCTAAACCCACGAACCGCGAGATCATGACCTAAGTGAAAGTCGGACGCTTAACCAACTAAGCCACCCAGGCGCCCCATTTTTTAATTTTTTTATATTTATTTATTATTGAGGCAGAGAGAAACAGAGCATGAGTGGGAGAGGGGCAGAGAGAGAGGGAGACCCAGAATCAGAAGCAGGCTCCAGTGTCTGAGCTGTCCGCACAGAGCCTGATGTGGGGCCCAAACCCACAAACCGTGAATCCATCCACCTATCGCTACAAATAATGCTGAAATGAAGGTTTTTATATGAGTTCCCACATTTACCTGTGTGAAATCTCTTTCACATATATACCCAAGAGCAGAACTGCCTATACTGGCAATATGACTATATACCGTGTACTAGTCTAGTATCCAGGTACAATATCCTTGCCGTAATTCTATCAGGCACTGCTGGGTAACAACTGTCTGACAGTACCTAGGAGCTCCTGTAACCTCACCTCAGCATGACATAGCTTTCTAATTAATGAAAATTGATATCTCATTGTTTTCACTTGCATTTCTCAGGTCCTGATGCATTTCTTCATTTGCTTCTTGGAGTTTCTTGTACTGTATGTAATGCAATTTGTGTTCATATCCTTTGCACACTTTCCTGTTAGAATTATTATCTTTTTATTGTTGATTTGTAGGAGTTCTTTGGACATATTAAATATAATTTTCCTTGTCAATTTTAAATTTTGAAAATATAATACTATGTCACCTGTTAATTTTGTCCTCAATATCCTTGGTGGGACTCCTTAATTTTGATGTCCTACGTTTGTCTTATGATTTGTGCTTTTGGAGTTTTGTTAAGTCTTTCTTTGCCTCTGGGTTACAAAAAATATTCTCTTCAAGTTTTCTTCTATTAGCTTTGTAACTTACCTTTCTCATTTAGGTCTTTTAACCATCTGGAATCCAAATGTGTATATGAGCTTAGGCAAGGATCCAGTTTTATTTTTCTTCATGTACTGAGCTAATTTTCCCAATACCACTGTTAACTAAATCCATTTTTT